TTATATTTAAAAGGCTCTCAAGTTTAAAAAATTCTAGACCAATTAAATCGCACCAAATCGAACCGTCTTAATTGGTTCGGTTTGGTGCAGTTTAATGGGAAAAGCGGTCTGTATCGATGGTCAAAATAATAAAACCGACATTATCATTTTGATACAATTTTTTACCTAAATACCGACCATACCGAACTAATTACATCCCTAAGTTACGCACTTGCTCCGAATGAATTTATCAACTAATGAATGTAATGCTTCTGCTTATTTGTCCTATGTATGAGTAGTTCATTTCTTAGTTTTGTTTAGCTAGGCATTTGGTAATCAAGAACTGTTGGTTGGTCATTATGCCATCTTGTTTGTGGCTGGATGGGGTCATGCAATTGGCCCTAGAAAAGTCGTCAGCAACGGGTGATGATGGTAATATAAACAGATAAGCATATTAGGTGGACAGATAGATAGCATGTAGACAAAGAGGAGATGATGGAGATAGATAAATGGAAAAATAGATGACACTTGGATAGATAAGTAACGTGGGCAAATAGACAAATAAGTAGGGATAATAGGATATTTTCAAACTGTTTTGTCCCTTGACTCAAAAAGATTAGAACTTATGGCTATTGTCCTAAACATTTTGAAATTGGACTTATGGTCTAAGTGCCCAATAACAATAAGAATTTGGGGAAGCAAAAAAAAAAAAAATTGAAATTGATTTGTGTTAATTATTTTGATGGTGTAAAATTTATGTTAATTACATAAGAGTGAGAATTATAAAAAAAATACAAAATCATGAAAATTTTACATTTTTGCCATTTTTTTTTTCTCTTATGTTCTCCCTCATTTATTTCCTCTTTCTTTTTCCCGTCATCAGCCACTCATTCTCCACCCTCTATACTACCCTTCATATCTTTCACTCTTAGCCCTAGACCCCAACCTCAACCATACTTAGTTCATTAAAAAATAAATAAATCTTTCACTTAATATTAGGACCTACATGTTGCCTTTTCTGCCAACTCCATCCTTCATTCCCATCCACCAACTTCATTGGTGCTGTTTGGTGTAGCTGTTAAAATGGATTATAGATTATAGCTTAACAGATTATAGATTATGACTTTAATCAGAAGCTGTTAATCTGTTTGGTATAACTGTTGGATTATAGATTTAAGTTGCTGAGTAGTGTTTGTTAAATAAGCTGTGAAGTAGCTTTTTCAATTAATTTTTATTTTTTATTATTCACTATTTGTCTACATTTTTCATAAAAAATAATAATAATATTTAATAGTCCATTTAGGTCTTTTTCTATTTTTAAAAAAATAAAAAATAAAAAAATCTAAGAGTATAACCGTGAATTACCATGTCCACAGCAGAAGCTGATAATCAGAAGCAAGGGGTGAGCAGCTTCTCAGAATCAGCTTTTTTGGCTTAAAATAAGTTGTTAGAATCAGAAGCTGTTTGAAATAAGTTTAATCAAACAGTCCAAAATAACTTTTTAAAAGCCAGAAGCCATAAGTTGACTTAAAAAAGCTCCACCAAACACCCCCATTGTCTACTTCCAGGCCTTCTAGCATCATTTACCCCACTCATAACTATTTTCACTATCTTCAATTGTGGTCATTGCATTCTCTCTTTATATCGCGATCTCTCTTATGATTGTTTGTGTAATCGATGCCCAACAATAACATTGTTGTCGCCATCATCATTGCCACCCACATCATTGCCACCCAATGCTAGCTTATCTATACCTTCCTAGGTAGTGCTCGTTTCTTTTCTTTACTTTCTCCAACTTAACCAACATCATGACCACCTTTTGGTTTTGAAAGACGTCTACAATCACCACCCCTCATTTTTCAATGTTATCCCGTCATTCCCTATTCTAGTGCTATTACCCTTACTCCTTTTCCATATTGCAAATTAACATCACCACCAAAGAATCTTCTTGTGGATTTTATTTTTGTTGCGTTGTGTAAATTTGTTGATTCGTGTTGTATTGTTTGAATTAATAATATATATATATATATATATATATATTTGTTCATTTCTGTTGTTTGAATCAATTGTGTAGATCCCCAACAGTGGTGGATTGATTCAAATTATTCTTCTCATCTTCTAAGTTTTGTTTTAAATTAAATTATAATTTTTCTTAATTAAGAATTATTAATAGAAAACATTTTAGATATTTAATGAAATATAATTGATGATGTAAGAAAACCAATTAATTTATTAACAATGTATTGACAATGTGAACTACTTTGTAGTGTGCCAAATTCGAGTGACATGAGTGTAATTTGGCTTAAACAATGGCATGAATTGTATTTTAACCAAACCTTCAAGAGATAAGTATAATTTATTTAATATAGATGCTTATGTATATATTTTGTGAGTTGCGAAATGTGGGCATATCTATAATGCACATTCCAAAAAGTAGTGTGTACTACATAACTAAATTATTTTCATTATAATTAATATATATATATATATTGAGTCATAAACAAGCATCACTTAATACATAACGAGAGACTTTTTTAGTTATAATCAAAATAATAGTCACAATAAGTCATAAACAACATTACAATGAGTCATAACCAATGTTTATAACCAAACATCATTTGGAGCATACCTGATGAACTTTTCAATTATAACTAAAATAAAAAAGGGCATTTATGGGCCGATTCTATTCACCAGACTTATATACCTATAAGTCCTGCTCATTTTTTCACCTATTAATATCCCTAAAATACATTTCCTATAACTCTTTCAACAACTTAATAATCAGATCACTGCCATGCCCCACCACTGCCCATTTCTAGCCATCGACGATCATTTTTGACTACCTTCGACCTTCGACGATCACCTCCAGTGATCACATCTGATAACCACTTCCAGTGACAGTTCCCGATGACATTCCTTCAACCATTTTTTGGCAAAAACAATGTCCATCTCTAGTATGTCACTAACACCACCACTTCCAATTGCCATCTCTGACTGCAGTGACCTTCGACGATAGTTTCCAATAACGATTCTTTTCAGATTTGGGTGAAGAAGAAGGCTACTAACATCTTAGATTTGGTGGCAACAAGAGAAAGAGAGAAAGATGGAAAGATGAGGAGGAAAAGAAAAATTCTTACCAGAAAATAGTCCTCTTCAGTCTTTACCATCACATATTAACATAAGAATCATATCTTTGTCATATGCTCTCTATCATTCTATCAGTGATTCTATCACTGATAAATTTATTAGTGGTGTGTTTGGTTGGGGGATTTGAGAAGGGATTTTGAAGGGAAAATGGAAAAGGTAGGTGAAATATAAATAAAATATACTTATATTTCACCTAGTTTCACACACCTTTTCCCTTTCTCTTTCCAAATCCCTTCTCAAATCCTCCAACCAAACACAGCGCAGAAGAATTTCTACAAAAAATTACAAATCGTTGATATGGTTTTTATATAAATCAAAAAATTGCACATTCATCAGAAACAAAATAGAGCCAAATGTGCTCTTGATAAAAAAGACTTCAAGAGAGCTCATCAGTAATACAAAAACAAACATATAAAAAGCGAAAAGACACATAAGTTATGTATACAAATTAATAGCAGAGAATTCTACAAATTTACTGATAAATTCATCAGTGATAATCAATAATAACCGATGATAAATTTATTCAGATCGGTTCTTTCAGTTTTTATACATAGTAGATCTAGTTCACAAAGAGTCAATCTCACTAATAGGAACTCTGGCGATCATGTCATGGCTACATCTCGACGTCGATGAGGGTTATGATGCTAGATTAGCATCAAAGCTTGTAGATTGGCATTGAAATTGGTTAGATCTAAAGTTTCCAGTAAAGATCGATGTCGAAGATAACAGATCGGTGATTACGGAGGATGGTGGTGGCAACAACGGTGTCGAAGATAGTAGATGGATAATGGAAGATGAGCGGCGGTGATGGCAATGAAAGAGGATAACAGTGGCATGAGGCGAACGACGACAACAACGAGAGAGGAAGACAATGATGGTGGTTGAGGAGAGTGTTGTTGACAACGTTAGGGCCCGTGATGTTGACGAATACAGAGGAGAACAATGACCGACGAAGGGAAATAATGGTATAGACTGATTGTAAAAATGGTAGAGAAAGAGAGAGAAGAAAAAAAGATTATTTAGGGCAACAAGGAGAGACAACCAATACAACATTCAAGGACAAAAAAGGTAAAACAGGATTAATCCGTACTTTTCAAATATGGACAAGACCTAAGTGTAAGTCTACCATATGGGATGGATAGGTAATTTACCCTTATATAAAGGCACTTAGGCCAAAGGTTCACTTATGAAATTATTGGGTCAATGAGGTCTCGTTTGGTAACTTTCAGTTTTAGTTAAAAAGTCAAAAAATTATTATAAGTGTCACATTACCCTCTCTACTTTTTTATATATCTTTTTGTAAAATATCAAAAAGTTATTAAAATAATATGTTCCCAAATAAGGCCTAAGCCCAAACTTAAATATTCTTTGACCAAAAAGACATATACTGTCCGAAAAAGACACCTATCTGTCTACATGTTCAAATATAATCTATATATCCAAATGTCACCTATTATCATTTGTCTATCCAAATGTTACCTATTTATACATTATTACCTATCGTTAAATGTTACATATCTATTTACTTCACTGCCACCAGCCACGAGTAGAAACAATGATCACCTTTGCATTGATGACTTTTTTGACTAATTTTCTGATGTTGACAATTTTTTATACGACTTTCAATGCTTATCCTTGCCCTCCAAAATAAAAAATCCTTAGATAACGTGAAATTTTCACCAATTAACTCAAATAAAATATCATAAATAATATTATAATAAATTGTAAGTCATAACCAATATGTATAACCAAATCCCACGTTGATCATACATATGATATGCAAGCTAGAATTTTCATGTGGTAGGTGGAGGAAGATGAAATAGAAACATCTTTTGAAAATGAATTCATATTTCTAGTATTTGAAAATAAAAATGCTACCAAACAACAGGTTGTTGGGTTTTGGGATAGGACCAAAAAAGAAGGAACAAAAGAAATGAGAGAGGCAAACGGAGATGAATTCGTCTAGATCCGTGTCGGTTTTGGTGAAACCAATAGCAGTGCTAGCAGTTACCTTCAGTAGCACCATTTTCTTCGTACTACTCCTCTCCAACCCCAAAACCCAACCTTTGTCGCAATCTCGAGAACCAGGAGGCTCGATGGCTCGAAGCTTTGTTCTCTGGCTTCATGGGTTGGGCGATTCTGGCCCTGCCAACGAACCCATCAAGTCACTCTTCACTTCGCCTGAGTTCAGAAACACCGCCTGGTCTTTCCCTTCTGCTCCTTCCACTCCCGTCACCTGCAACAGTAAGTTTAATTATGAAGTGGTTTTTTTTTTTCTCTGATTCTGTTATGGTTTTCTTGTTGAATAGAGTGAAATTGATCATCTGGGTAGTGTGTTTATGGTATGATCTTGGTTTTTTAGGTTTATTGTTGGGTGCGGATTTGATCAGGGTTTTGTAGGTGGGTGAGTCTTTTGAATGAATGACGTTGTTTGATTGATTTACTTTGAAATTCTGTATTGGTAAAACTCATTCTTTTGATGCATGTGATGTGACCTTCTGTCATTGTAAACAACATAGAAAGGAGTTGAATGGTCAGATAATTCAACGGCACAATCAAATGTTTCAGTGCAATTTGTAGACTATTATTTTACCTCTAACACTATATTTGGATATCTAGAGAGAAAAGAAAAGAAATAATTGTGATTTATCTCCCTCTTGTTTGGTTGAGTTGGTAAGAAAAAAAAATGGGGATTTCTCTCCAATCTTGTTTGATAGACTACGTAAAAAGAAAAGAAATTTTTACCAGTTATATTACGAAAATAACCATTTTTGTTTTTATTTCTTTTGTAGGTAGATGGACAATTTTGATAATATACAAAATTAGTAATCTTTCCCTTTCTTTTCTCTCACAATCTCTCCAATTTTGGAGAGAACCCCCCTCTCCATTTCTTTCAATGTCCCCCCATTTCTCTCCTCTCTAGTAATCCAAACAAGTGATTAGCACCAAGAGACATGGATTTCTTTTCTTTTCTATCCAAATCACTGCATCCAAACGAGGTGTAATTGAAAATTTTAATTAACTCCTATAAAGTTTTTAAGTATACCCCTTAAATCTTTGTACCACCTCTTTTCTTTGATTTTATTTATTTTGAACAATATCTTCGTGAAGCCAACGAGGTTAGTCCATTAGTCAAAATCCCTAAACTTTGAGCTCAGAGGTTGAAATCTCTAAATTTGATTATTGGTTGTATTCTCTATGCATTTATTTAGGATTTTTCTCTCTTACTTTAAGACTTTCTTTATATTAGATTTATGTTGTGTTATTGTTTACTACGATTGTAATTCATTAGCTTCATTGTAATGTGATTCATTAATTAAAAAGATCCCTTCAAATTCTTTATCTCATTTCTTTCTCTTCCACTCTCGATTTCTCTTTTTTGTTGCGTGTATTTTGATGTAATTGTGTCATTCTCATTTTAAATGGCGTCATGAATCACTTTTTAAATTATGATGATCATCTTGGTAAGACTAAAATCGATAATCAAATTAATAATAAAAAAACAATAGAAAATCAACAAAACAAAGAAAAAATTTGGTTAACTGAAGCATAACTCTAAACATATAAATTTGGCATCATGCTCATCTTTAGTTGTTTTTACCACCCATTGAAAATCAGGGTCAGTTGTGTTGTGATAGATCTCGCTATCAATTTGACATAGTGTTGCCCCCGAGCCAAAATCCTGGTTTCACCACTGGTGCTAAGGGGTTTGATTAGGACTTGATGAATGGCTATGTAGAGGAAACTTAGCTCTAATTTCACTCCTCCATAGAAGCCGCATTTTGTTTTCCTAATACTTTTTTGGACAAGTAATTATATTACCAAAAGAAGGAGAAGATATTACAGGGAAGTTCAGTACACAGCCCAATAGGGACACGCTTCTCAAAATGAGGACACACAAGCCTAGTCTAGAAAATATAATCTCTCAAAGCCTAAGGCAGGCATACCCCAAATAGGGCACACATGGAACACTCCTCCAAAGAGAACAAACCTAGCCAGTAAAAGAAAAACACAACAAAGTCCATAAGGCTAAGCAAAACATGGATGATGATATTATCCCACCAAAACTGCACTACCAATCTGTGACAGTCCAACAATGTGTTCTTACCGCATGCTCTTTAGCCCATGTGACACCTTTCACAATTGCAAACTGATTGACAGACCAATTGTAGTGCAATACAAATTCAAACCCAATCATCTCCCGGAAATATATACACATGGGTCTTCTAAGAACAACATGTATGGTCAAAACAAGGACAGTTCATCCAGTCACCCACTCTCGCTTGGACTCAAGCACACACGGCCACTCGTTGCTAACTATTGCAGCATGCCTTACAAAAGCACAACAACATCCACAGTTGAGTACGTAGAAAACAAACAGTACAATCAATCCAAGCATCTTACTCCCCAAAAGGCTTCGTTCAACGGTAGATTAAGCATGCATGTCTCTCCATAGGCATTTTTTATCGGTATTTTCACCAGTGAGTCAAATTCCACCACCATCTTGTGACAAGACCCATGAAGTTTAAGACCAACCAATTAATAGCAACAACCTTTGAGCCAAGGAAAAAACCCAAAAAAATTTTGGCAAACAAATCCAAAGAGCACCCATTGCCGGAGCATGATCATAGGAAACCAAAAATAGTAAATCAAAGCAACAAAGCGTGGTCTCCACCAAAACCCCACTCATTCGAATCTCCATAATGAACATTGGTGGCATTCTCCACACCCCACTCGAGCCACCAATAAGTGCTTCCTAAGAAAGATATATCATGGATTAGCAGAACAAAGCTCAAGTAAACCAAGATTGAGACCATAATCTCACCCTAAAGATCAAGTATGGAGTCAAGAAGTTGCCTCTATGAGCTAAGGTTTAATACCCTATAGAGGGAAGTTGGCAATGTAGTAAAATCTTTATACATAGCACTATCATCCATTTAACTTATAGAGAAATTACAAAAAAAAAAAAAAAAACCAAAGTTTTACCCTCGTATCAAAATAAACCTTGTGCTTTTAATTTTATCAATTTAACCCTAATCTTTTGATTTGTTATCAATCTAAACCATATATATATATATATTTGTTGTAATTTTCTCTAACTTATATATACCAAACCAAATTAAGCTTGTGTCCTAATTAAGTGGGGTTGGCTACATGAATCATTTTTTCAGCTCTATCAAGGGCTATATGCTCAGTTAAATTTAATAAATTCATATATTTTTTCACTGCAGCATCCCTTGTCAACTTAAGTCTTCCCCTCCACCTAGCATCTCCATTTATGGTTTAACTTATATATATATATATATATGTTTATACATAGTAATGCTACCACCAAAATCAACTTGACAGTTGACAGTTCTCTTGACTCCACAAGAGACATGGGAAAGAGAGATTTTAGATTGGCAAATCGGTGTTTCTATAATCCAATTATAGTAATTAATTAAACTCCATTGATTTTTCATTATTCCATGGTGTACCTCCCTTGAAATAAGTGTCTTGCATTGTGAAATAGAGATTTCTTTGATAGGTTCTCCTTAGGACTTGCACCCTTATTATTTATCATTCATGATGTAAAGTAATAAAATAACTACAAGAAGGTATTTCAAATGGTCCACAACAAGGGCTCAAAATATGTTATTGTCTTGTTGAAAATATTTGATTCTCTCTCTTTATATAGTACCATTCAACATACTTAATTTGCTTCTTTTGCAGATGGTGCTGTGATGCCTTCATGGTTTGATCTTCATGAAATACCAGTAACAGCTGTAAGTTTTGGTCCTTGTATTTAGTGGATTATTTATTTATTTTTTTATTTACCTTCAAGCATCTTCTTGGAAATTGCATTATATTTGCATTTTGGTGAGTTGAGAACTGATCGATTCTTAAATAGATGTTTGTTAGGGAAAAAAAAAAATGATGTTTATAAGTACTGGTATGAAGTGGGATGTCTACTTGGAATGTCTTTTCACATCTTCGGGTTGATACGAATTGATTTCAAACTGATGACTTTGCATGATAGACATTGTGCAGCCTTCCCAATACTGTTTGAAGTATTTTCTTTCTTTCTTTCTTTTTTTTTTTTTTTTTTTGGGAAGATTACCAAACATTTCTTCTTTTTGAATCTTATAATGTAAGTTCATGGATGTTCACCAATTGGAGAATACTTTTAAAATTTTTAAGAAGGGTCTTACGACATAGTCCTATACATGCCAGAAAATTCTAAGATGGAACGGTGTTGAATATAGAATTAGAGTATATAGAATCTTTGCAAGCTTTATTAAATAGAGGAAAAAATTGACAAAAATATTGAAAATTAACATAACCCATACGAGCATGCCATAATTCTTGAAGTGAATATTAAAAACACAAGACATGGAAGCGGGCAAAACAGAAGCCTGGAAACTAGTTAAAGAAGAAGAGGAAGGCTCATCCGGTGGATCCCTAAAGTAGTAAAGCCCATCACACTCATAGCCCTTGCCAAAAATCTTCTTCGAACTCAGGTCCTCTAAAAGGCAAGAAGAGGGTAAGACGATGACAACACAATTAAATTGTTTGGCAAGACAACTAACGGATAAGAGATTTTATGCAAAATTTGGAACATGTAAAACGGACGATAAAGTAATGGTAGGGGATAAGGATACTACACGCTTATGATGAACTGAAGATGAAGAATCGTCAGCATGACACACAGACTGGGCAATAGTAGTAGCGATTGGAGAGGAAAGAAAGGAAAATTCACCCGTCATATGATCATTAGCCCCAGAATCTAGAACCCATGAGGGACTAGTAGACCGAACATGAAAAGCAGTAGTAGTACTTGTAGCGAGGTTGGCACTTAGTTACAGGAATCATGCAACTAGGTGGTGATTCTTACTCTAAGTAAGAATCGCGATTCCGCGAAAGAAACGTGTAAGAATCGCGTTTCTGTGGAGAGAGAAATGCGATTCAATCCAAGATGGGATCGTAAAGAGGAGAGAGAGAGAGAGAGAGAGAAACCCTAACCTTCGACGTCGATATGAGAGGAGAAAGAAGGGTTGTTGAGAGAACTTACAGTGGACCAGTGTTGAGATTAGGGCTTTGATTGCTTTCGTCACTCTCTTCTCTCACTATTGATCACGATTGTCTTCGTCTTTGAGGGTTTCGATCGTCTTCGTCTGTCTCTCTTCGTCTCTGTGCTTCTCTCTGTCTCTTCGTCTCTGCTTCTCTCCCTCTTCATCTCTGTTCGTTATTCTCTTCACTCTCTCTTTTCGTCTCTATGTTTAATTGATCATATATAATATATAATTTATCATATATAATATATATAGTAAATATAATTTATCATATATTATATATGTAATAAAATTTATAAATTATAATTTTTACTATATATAATAAAATATTTAATTATTATTTCTTAAAATATCATATATAATAATAATTTTTGTAAATTATTATTTCTTAACTTTTTAACATATAATAAATAAAATAAATCATCCAATTATTTAAAAGAAATCTAATTAAACCATATATAATAAAAAAAAATTATAAATAAAATATATAATTTTTCTTTTTATTTATTTTAACATAATTTATTATTCCTTATTTATTATAATTTTTTATTTATAATATATATCAATTAAAAATAAAAAAATAAATTAACAATAATACATTATTTAAAAAATATAATAAATAAATAAAATAATTAATGTATATTAAAATAAAAATATTTATAAAAAAACTTCTAATGTGCATTAAAAAATATATATATATATATATATATATTACCGCTCCCCGAGACACTCCCAACCTAAGAAACTTCTATCGGCTCATGATTCCTCGCTCCCGCCCCCGCTCCCGCCCTCGCTCCCGCTTCGTGCAACTAAGGGTTGGCAGTAGTGGAAGACGACCATGAGAGCCAGCAATGAGAGATCCAAGCTGAGCTTGAAGCTGACCAATCTGAGTCTGTAACTTCTGTAAATTAGGGATATTAGGAGACCTAGGAGCAGGAGTGGCCTCCATTAAAGTAGTAGTGCGAGGGGTGCTAGTACCACGAGAGCGAGAAGAACGTGGCCTCAACTCAGGATGAAGTTTGAAGCAACGACCCTTAACATGACTAGAAGCACCACAATGATGACAAGTGACTGGACCAATAGAACCTTGAGAACCAGACTTGGTAGCAAGAGCCATCTGATCAGATAAAACCAGAGACAGGAGAGGAGGACTTGGCCGAACCAGACGCTTACGACGCTCATCACTATCAATAGTGGCGAAGGCCTCATAGAGAGAAGGCATGGGTGATGTGTTTAAAATCTGAGTTCAAAGAGATTCAAACACAAAGTTTAAACCCATCAGAAATTGGTAGGTGTGCTGGAGAACAAGGCATTTGGACACAAGAGAGGTAGCATCTGCTGGTAATTTGGTCAAGGGCTCATATTAAGCCAATTCTTCTCAACAGGCTTGAAGATATCCAAAGAACTCTGACATAGAAAGATCCAAGGTAGACTGGGAGGCACGAGCAATATCTTGATAAAGCTCAAAGATGCGAGCATCATTATGAGCATGGGCATACATCTGTGACAAGGCACGCCACAGACTAGGAACTGTGTCGCAATAGAGAAACATGTGATAAATACGATCCTCCATGGAATTGAACATCAATCTGAGAATAGTACAATTATCAATATCCCACTAGGCACATGTAGGGTCTGTCACAACAGGCTAGGTATTAGAAGATACGAGCCAATGAGCTTTTCTCTTTCCCCCTAAATAGAGTTTAAGGGAGCAGCTCTGGACGGCAAAATTTTTCTCATTCAACACCACACTCGTAATATGATGAACATCAGTATGATGAGAAAGAGAAAAATCAGAACTAACTGGAACAGGCTTGGTGGACATATCAGAAGTAATAGCAGGAGGTGTCTCAGTCATGGTGATATAATAGGGTTAAAAAACCACATAGAATCATAGCAACACAGTTCAAAAGAAAATACGAAAAGCCGGAAAAACTCAACAGCTAATCCAGATAAATGTTACCGAATAAACACGGTATCCCACCGAATGAAAAAGAGTCAAAAAAATGCTTAATACATTAACACCACACCCTTGGAAAGGGAAAAAGGGCCTGAGCTACCCTGAAAAGGCTGCCGAAACACCTAAGGCCAGTAAACAGCCAGCTCGGCAGCAAACAGTGGCCTCGGCAGGGCTGAAACCACCTGCCGAGGATCTAGGACAGTGGGTAAGGGCTGTCGAGGGGTCTAGGAGAGAGGGGTGAGGTGGTTGGGTGGTGTAAGGGAGCTAGGAGAGGCTGTCGGGTGGTGTAGAGGGATTAGGAGGGCTGACGGCGCCTAAGGAACAAGAAAGGAGGGGCAGAATAGGTTGGGCAGTGGCTGGGTAATGGTGGCAGGGAGGAAGAGAGAGCTAGGGTTTCTGAGCTTAGGCTCTGATACCAAAATGGATGAAAAGAATAGTTTGGCTTACTCATGAATAAGGCAGAGGCCATGTATATATAATAGATTCATGATACAATTTAGGAAACGATATAAACAAAACACTAAATTAGTGATTGATACAATCACATATTATATACATAATACTAAAATAAAAAGATTCTATATATTCTAATTCTATATTCAATAGATTATTCTCAATGTTGTACTAGATGGAGTTCACATGCATACTAAAGTAACAATTCACTTTGATAATCTGCTATGCTTGTTTTGCAACATGTATCAGGATTCTCCTAATGATGAAAGTGGTGTCCTGAAAGCAGTCCGGAATGTGCATGCAATGATAGAGAAGGAGGTAGCTGCTGGCACTCATCCTGATAATATATTTGTATGTGGATTTAGTCAAGGAGGTCTCTCTCTCTCTGTCTCCATGAAAAAGTTTGTGTCCTTGTCTTGGTTCCTGCAGGTAACTGGTAAATTGTTATGTTTTGCAGGAGCCTTGACCTTGGCAAGTGTTCTACTATACCCAAGAGCTCTAGGAGGAGGTGCAGTTTTCAGTGGATGGGTTCCTTTTAATTCATCTATAATAGAACAAATCTCACCAGATGCAAAGAAGGTACTTTTCTTGTAACACATCAATCGTGTCTTTGTTTTACAGTCTTGCCTTGTTTTTTGATGATTGTGTTTGCCTTGCTGACTTGCTGGTTCTTTGTATAATCACCAAGCAACAGTATCAATTTTCATAGGTTCAAAACCAGTCTATAGCATGCTATAAAGGTGACACATGTAGAGGGTACTTGTTCAGTAACCATCTCCAAACATGGAACATCTGTTCCTGAAACCAACTTGAAGCTTTATCATTGAACTTGACTTAAAGTTTTTCTTCGAATGTCTAGATAGATTGATGGTAATCATGGGAATTGATTAGATAAAAAACAACTTTATTGCAGTGAAATACTTTCTGGACAAAGTTCAAGATGTAGGACAAGAACACTCTCCACTAGGTAGTGAGCCCAAAAAATAAACTTATATGAGGCAGCAGCAAAAGGCTCTATTTAGGGCTGATTATAGTTGATTTTAGTGGCTGGAAAGTTTGTATAATATGGGCTTTTCTAGGGTTTCTCAGAGGGTACTAAAAGGGAAGGCTTTTGGGAGTTAAAAAATGGAATTTTGGGGACTGATCAGGGGCTGTTTTTATGCTGTGAACCGTTAACTGTGATAAACTTTATGGGTTGTTTTGGTATGCTATGTTCCTAGGCTTGAAGGGGAAGATGGTTTTAGGCTTTTGGAATATGGTTTAATAGAATTAAAAGCGTTGGTGAAACAAATCTGGTTTTGAAGTTGTAATTGCCGAGAAGGGTGAAAAATTAAGGAGCAGAAGAAGAATCCAGACATCACACCTAAGGTTAATTACGCATTGCACTATCCCAAATGATCTCCAAAGGCTCTGAAAAGTCTCCAAAACATGCTTTCTATTGAATTGGACGAATATAGAGACCCATAGTGTGACTTCTATGATGACCCATGGGTGACGCTTGCAGCCGACGTCCAAATTTTTTTAAATTACCAGGATATCCTTGACCCAAAAAATTTAAAGAAAATATTTGAAACCGACCTGCAGTATATTTAACCTTGAATAAACAGACATAATATGACTCCTAATAATAGTAACTTGATTATTTGTGGTTCATATTGGCGGTGCCTTGAAATCATGTCTATTTCTAAATATCATCACCTCTTTAAATTTACTTTTCCCTGAGTAATGTATGGCTAGTGCGGAACACTCTCCTACTAGGTGGCTTGCTGCAGCAGTGGGCTATATTTAGAGCTGTTTATTGTTGATTGTAGTGGCTGGAAAGTTGATAAAATATGGGCTTTTCAAGGGTTACTAAGAGGGTATTGAAAGGGGAAGTTTTTGAGAGTGAAAAGACTGGATTTTGGGGATTGTTTAGGGTTGTTCTGTGAACAGTAGCCTGTGAAAAATGATCTGCCAGTTTGGGTTGGTATTTTGTTTTCAAGGGTGGAGGGGGAAGATAGTTTAGCGTTATGAAATAATGTTTAATGCAGTGACAAAACAAATCTGGTTTTAAAGAAAAAAAATCCAGGCATCACACTTAGATTTCATAAGTTTCACATCTACGGTTAATGCATCTCACAATATTCTGAAAATTCTCTAAAACATATTTGCTCTATTAAATTGTAAGAACCACATAACTTTATGTAAACTGGAACTCCTACTTCTAAAAAGATTTGCACATCTTATTCTGGAAACTAGAACTTTTGACTTCTAAGACTCATTTAAAATGTAAAGACCCAATAATTTAACTTGACAACACTAATGGTGATTCATGTGTGGGGCTACAACACATGTCCAAAAATTAATAAAATTATAAAATACCCATGACTCATAAAGAAAGGAAGATAGTAAAAATTGACTAACAATTTAATCTAAAAGAAAAACAAATAAGACTCACCAAAAACTAGCAGGGATGGGTCATGAATATTTTTAAATTGTTTAAGTCCGCCCTCTAAGTTTTGTTTTTTGGAGATATTAATACTTGTTCTCCTAATTTTTTTAATAATAAGAATTTCAGATAATTTTACTTTTTATTTTTTTATAACATTTGATTAGATGCTTTAAACTTCTTATTCTTCTTCTTTGTTTCAGTTTTCCCTATTCTCTTCATGTTTTCTTTTGTTTCGTTTTTTTTTTTTTTTTGGTCTTCGATTTTCTCTTCAATTCAATCTCTATTTTCAGTTTCTTCTTCATCTTCTCCATATCTATTTCAAAACTTCTTCTATTTCTGTTTTTCCTCTTGTTATTTCTCTATTTCGGTTCTCTTTCTTCTTCTTCTTCTTCTTACTCATTCTTAGCTTTAATTTAGATCCTAGGAATGGTTGTACGTCTTTCAAAATAAAAGTGTAAGAGGGGTTAGTTTTGAAATTCGAAAATACTGCAGGATTCGCCTTGGCTACTTCTTCTTCTTCTTCTTAGCTTTACTTTAGATCCTACGAATGGTTGTAGGTCTTTCAAAATAGAAGTGTAAGAGGGGTTAGTTTTGAAATTCGAAAATGCTGTGGGATTTGCCTTGGTGGGAAGAAGAAATTTGAAAAAAGGAAGGTGGGCAAATTCCTAACAGAAGCCCATTAAAAGTGACCTGTGAAGGGTCCATGAATTGACCCATGTTTGACCATGGTTATTGTGAGCCCGTTGATGAACTAGTTGTGGCAGAAAGGGTAGTCCAAGAACTAACAGAGAAAGGCCCAATGGGGTTGTACACCGAAATCAGTCCACGAGATAAGCCTAAAAACAAGTCCTTCAATAAATATTGAGCCACCCCTGTAGAGGGAGGTGGATGTATTGAGGCACCCCTAAAGGGCTAGGTGAAGCCCCCAAGGCAACTCCAAAGGGAGAGGAAGTCCTTGAGATGCCCCTTGAAGACAAGGTCCCCTTAAAGCCAATGACAAAAGGCTTAGGGTAATAAAAAAAAATGCAGGTGTGTTAGAATCATGACTCATGCGAAGATGGAGAGAGTGAGATTTGGAAGTAAATAATCTCGTCATATAGATTAGATTACCTAGGTCAAGTGAGCCTACTTCGGTCAAGATGGCAGGACCTGGGAAGCCTTTCAGGCTTGGTGCAAAACATAATCTAGTTGATACAAGGCTACACTATGACCCATTATCGGGACATTGGGGATCATGTGGCTTGGTGGCTACAAGTAGGGGATCACTGAGGGGGGCTTCTCGAGGAAGTCGATCCAAGGGACTTGTGAGGTCTTGAGAAGGAAGTGACCAAGGGGAGTACATACCCACTAAGGCCTGGTGGTTGCGGAAAAGAATATCCCCATGTGATCCCTAAGACACTTGGTATCACCCTATTGACTACTTGGCCTACCAGTGAGCCAAGGAAATACCTATAAATAGGGCGCAATTCTCACAGCTTGATAAGAGAGTGATTCTCTGGAAAGGGAAGGCCCTGCCACTTTGAATACTGCCATTGCCTTTCCTGATTTGCTTTACTTTCACCCAATTGACTCATCCTCTTCTCTTTGGCCTATTGTTCACATTATTTGCTTCTTTGGTGTTACAAATCTTGTACCCCACTTTTGAACCTCTTACAAAAAGGACATTGTCAGCTTAAAAATAAATTTTCGCATTTAAAATTTTAATTGCAAAACTATGAGATTGATATCTTTAAACATCACAAGTTTCAAACATTGTCACCCTTTTTATGTGTTTTTGTGCAAAATGTTGATAAAAACAGGATGAAGAATGATTTTCTAGTCAGTTATTTGGTCACATATTTTATTGTATTTTGATCATATTTTTGTAGTTATCTAAATCAGAGGAGCTCCAGGAACTTCCTTATGGACCTTAGAAGTTGCAGCTCACTCTTTGCTTTGTGGAGAAGAGCAAGAGTGGGTCACAGAGGACTGTATAGGTTGAATAGAAATATCTAAGGGCAAATTACCGAAAAAAAGAAAAAAAAAAAGAAAAACTTCAAATTTTGACCTTGGTAACAAATCAAATCCTAACTTTTTAATTATTTCAATTTAAACTCCATACTTTTAAAATGATATTAATTATAACCATCTGTTTGGTATATAACTAGTGGAGAAGAAGCAATTTAGACAATTTAGTTACTTTTTTTACTTCATTATTGTTGACAGCTGCCTCCCACCCTTACCGTCGTCCATCACTACTCCTCTTCCCCAATCCTCTGTCATTCCTCCATCCCTTTTTCCTGTCTACCGTTACTCTTCCCTTCCCTAACTCACTGCCTCCCCTCTTCTTCATTCTGCAGTCCATAGTCATTGGCATTGTCCAACACCACCAACAAAAAATGGTTAAATTGTCTAAATTGCTCATGTTTTGTTAGTTATAAGTTTATAAATAACAGATGGTTAAAATTGATACCATTTTAAAATTTGAGGTTTAAATTGAAACAAGTAAAAAATTAGGGTTTTGATTTATTATTAAGGTCAAACCTTGGTTTTTTTTTTTTCCTTCTAACTATATAATTTTCTGATATTTTTCACATTTTTCGTTGATAGAAATGGTGGCAAGATGTTTACTTAGATTAGCAGTTCTACTTCTCAATTGTGAGTTGGCAACTTTATTGAAATCTTATTTCAACCAATACCATCCATTCAATTGAAGAAATTTAGAATTGCCCTTTGTATTTGTTTATGCTGCTTCTTGCTACACTTGTATTCTCATAATTTTGTTTTTTCGTAGTATAATCTTGTAATTGTTGACAATCCGTTGCATCTGTAGTGCCATTATTTTGATATTTGTTCATTCTCTTCGTGGTGAGACATTTAACATGCTTCAATGCTTGCAAACATCGGCAAATGGTGACAAATACATAAAACATTGAATTTTTGTAGTCAGGATGACGTAAATACTTACGAGCTAATGGTAAAATCAGTACCTTGTTTTGAAATCAGATGAATCTTCTTTTGAAATGGTGGTTACTGTATTAGGGATCTTAAACATACACTACTACTTTTTTGGACATTTTTGGATGGCTTAATGATATGAGATCTCCATGAACTTGCAGACACCTATTTTGTGGTCTCATGGTATGGCTGACAGAACGGTGATCTTTGAAGCTGGACAAGCAGGTCCACCATTCCTTGAACGAGCTGGTATAAGCTGCGAGTTTAAGGTATTACTTATCATTGCTTTCTTGAATCTCCTCATGTTCTATACACTGCTTCTGAATAAATTGGTCGGTTATTTGGTTATGGATTTGTAGGCTTATCCAGGTCTTGGCCATTCAATAAACAACGAGGAGCTACGTTACTTGGACTCGTGGATCAAGGCTCGTCTCCAGAGTTCTTCCTGAAGCTGTTGAGTTTAATGGACTTCTGATTTGTTACCTTAGTTTCTCGGTGCTTCAATTGTTGGTTAATCTTTATATATGGATGACATCCTTGATTTTATGTTACGAACTTAACCAATATGGTAAAAGACTCGTGTCCGTATCTTATGTTACATGAGCTTGGATACGAGTGTCACTGGGTGTGGGCGTCTTAATGTCCAATTCATCTAAATTCCACATTCAGGACGTTGGACATAACAAAATATTCATATTTCTCAATAAATTTCTTCTCTTTTTAGGGTAAAAAGATGTTTACAAGGAAGCATAGAGCATTTTATGAATAACGCCATGAGTTTTTATAGTTTAATGGTAAAATTAGAATTACAAAATATTTTTGCTACAATCCTTTGAGGGTTTGTAGTATATGTACCTTTGTTACGTAGTTTTGTGAGATACATGTCAAGTATATTTTTTGGAATATTACGTATTTTTTTTATGGTTATGATAATTTGTGGTTCGATAATGAACTACATATTTTATGATAATATTATGATTTTTGTGGTAATCTTATTCATTTTTTTATTCAAACATTTTCTAATTACAAAAATACGTAAAATTATTTTAAAAATGTGTAATTTTATTTTTCAATTACAAATTATTATTAAAAAATATGTAAGAAGTCTACATGGTACACAACGTTTGAGTATGTGAGCAAAATCGGATCCAAAATTTACTGCTAGTAAGGTCTTGTTTGGTAGGGTTTATTTTCAGTTTATTTTAATTTTTAGCTTAATTTAAGTTATTTTGATGTGTTTGGTTCAGTTTAACAATACAGTTTATAGTTTTTTGTAAGTTAAAAATCATCTTATTCTTTGAATGGGGGAGGAGAAGCTTAATTTATAAGTCAAAAATCAGTTTATGTTCACAATTATAAGGTATAAGATATTAGGCTATAAGTTATAATCACTTTCCCACAACTCTACCAAACGGGGCCTAAGTAATAGATAACAAATTATGCATTGTCATTGGAGAGAAAACTTTAAAAAATTTAGGAAAAATTACCCATCAATGGTAAGTTGAAGAAGTTATTATACATGAAAAAATTTATAATATTGATAAAAATTTATCATTATTTTATATTTATTTTTCAAGTTTTATATTGATTTGAAATTTTCCAAAATTTTAAGACAAAATATAACAATAGCAGCCTATATAGTACACTTAACAATTCTCTAATATATGGGTGTTTGGAATTTGCTTTTTTGATGGATTTTTTTGTTAGCATATTTTCATTAATGAACTTTTTATAAAATATTAGATCTCTAGATTTTACTTGATGAGATAAATTAAAAAATTATTATTTTTTTCAAATTTTAAAAATAAAAGTTCAAAAAAGATAAATTAAGGGGGAAAAAAAAAACCTTTTAGTTTTGTCTACACAAAATGAATACTAGAAAAATTAAAAATTAATTTTTTTTTTTTTTAAAAAAACGCAGTTAAAGATAAAAATATTTTTAAAAAAAGTGACTTATTTTAGAAATCTCAAATGACCCTCTAATTATGAATTTGGTGTCATTGCTATGTATGATGCACATCACTGACATTTGTGCGTCTCATGAAACTCATTTTATATCCTATATTTTGATGATTTGAATAATTTAAAGTTTTATTTTAGTATTGGCTAATATGATCAATTTTTTTGTATTGAAACATTTTTAGCCTTATTTGGTTTGAATTTTTTGATTTTCTTGACTTTTATAGGAGAAAAAGTATAATAAATTATAGATTAGATGTGATATTTTGACCTGATTTGACATGTTGTAAATAATTCAAAAAATTAAAAAGTTACTAAAAAAAATTAAAAAGTTACCACTGTTGACTAAAAATAATAATTTTATACAAAAATTATTGCAACACATTCTACCGTCCACATACTTTTGAAATGAACTTTAGGAAAAAATTGCACAGGATCGGTTCACAAACAACAAGGTCCTGTTCAGCTCATGGGGGCCATTATAGGTCCCGTTTTGATAATCTGAACCATTTAATGTGTAGAACTTGTCGAGTATTATATGTTCAAAAAAAATCACGTTGATCGGATATCGCTAACTACGTGATCAAATCAGTTTTGTATAAAAAAAAAGATGGTGTTATAGTTAACGGTTGAAAAAAACTAATCCGATTAGATAGTTATCGATATCCGATCAATGTGATTTTTTACAAATATATAGTACTCGACAAATTCTACATATTGAATGATTCAGATTATTAAAATAGGACTCGTGATGGCCCCCACGGGCCGAATAGTACCGTACAGTGCAATGCCCGAAAAAAAGGCAACAATTTCTTATGTCAAACTTCACTGCCAGACAGGTCCGCGTACTGCTACTCTCCCGAACTTCTCTACACACTTTTTTTATATAATTTTTTAATCCACATTTTTGATAAAAAGTCAAAAAATTAACTCAAACATCTATATTTTTTCTTCAATTTTTTAATCCAAAATGACAAAAAATATACTTTAATATTTAGAACACCCTAAACAATCTCATATTAACTTATTTAGTCTATTTTTTTATTTTGTGATTTTTTGGCCCCAAAATATAGTCAAATCAGGGCTAAATTTTAAAAAATATTGAAAAAAATATATTTGAAAAAATTAAGTTGATTAGATATCGATAATTCTTTCATCGAATTATATTTGTATTGAGTTTAATGCATACATATTTATTTTTGAGTTAATTACCTAAAAATCCTATTTACAAATGCTATGATAGCTCATGTCATATTTAAGATTTTTTGAATTAATAAGTCTTATTTAGAATATTGTCAGTTTTTTTTTTTAATTTTTAAAAATAAGAACATTATCAATTTTTTATAGTAATATTTTAAATAATTGTTTCACTAACTGATGAAAAAAAAGAGTATGAGATTAAACATTTTTGCCTTTTTACTTGTTGTGTTGATTCAACTATCCAATAAAATTGAGAATATTATCAGTTTTTTTCAGTTTTAAAACTGAGAACATTATCAATTTTGAAAGTTTTAAAAGTTTTTTTTTTTTTTCAATTTTGCACATCAATATTCCATCATTATACTCCTTTATAGACTCAAAATTTTTAATTTTGTACAAAAAAATAATTCAATTTTTTCAAAAAATTAGTGTTTTTTTTTTTTTTTTCAATTTGAAAGTTGGTGTTTTAAAGTTTTGAAAATCAAAATAAATGTCAAATTATCATATTCTTTTATAGATAATCATAAATGCTGAACAATTATTATTCGAAGACAATTTCGACTATTAAAATTTTAATAAGATTTGAAGGTCTAAAAAATCTTAGTTGAGACTTAATGGAGTATAAGTTCACAAATTAAGACTTGTGTGTAAATGTCCTTTTATTTTTTCACATACATATGTGCTTTGATAAAAAGGTAAATAATATCAAATTAATTTGATTTTTTTACAAATATATCTTTCTCAATATTTTTTAAAAATTAAATAATTTAAATTATGAAATAATATCCGAAATAAATTTCACGGATTGCACAACCGTCACGGTCATGCATCGCGTAATGACACCATGTCCCTAATTATAGGTCTAGAATCAAAGCTTAAATCCTTATGCCATGCTTGTTTGGCTATTTGGGGAGAGAAATTGAACTAATAATCCGTTGGAGTCACCCAAAGAGTGTTTGATTGGAGATACGAGTAAGGGAATTAGCTACCCTTTGGACTAGTAATTCCACCAAGGATCCTCTAGAGTGAAATTTTTCTAAAGTTTCTTAGAGTGCTACATTGTGTGGTTGAGATTTAGTTTGATTGGAGATACGAGTAAGGGAATTAGCTACCCTTTGGACTAGTAATTCCACCAAGGATCCTCTAGAGTGAAATTTTCCTAAAGTTTCCTAGAGTGCTACATTGTGTGGTTGAGATTTAGTGGCAAGTCACATCAGAAAAATTGATGTGACTTGCCAGTAAATCTCAACCACACAATGTAGCACTCTAGGAAACTTTAGGGAAAAATCACTTTAGAGGATCCTTGCTCTAGTAATTCACTCAATTCATAGGACTACCAATCCAATGGGTGTGTTAGGATTAGAAATTGAGTGAGGGGATTAGATAATTTTTTAATAATTTTTAATCAAATTTTTTATTTTTTAGAAATAAATTATAATATTAAAAAAATATTAAAAATTAAAAAATATTAATTATATATATTAATGCTATCTGTTGTAATACTAATCTAGTGATGTATAAATAAATACTCTTTATTTTACATTTTTAATCTAATATCAGTACACTAATAATCTCTTTACTCAATTTTATCATACTTTAATCTCTTTCATCCTATAAAATCAAACAAATATGACCTTAAAAATATGAATAAGAACTCATTTAGAAATTAATTTTTTTAATAACTTTTAAAAATTTTACGAAAAAATCTAAAAAATAAAAAAATAATTTAATAACTTTTTGTAATATTATTTTGGACGAATTACACTAACAGTCCTTATTTTTTAGGATTCGTATCATTTTGATCATTGACTTTTTAATTGTGATAGATTGGACCTTGAATTTTAAATCTTGTTCCAAATAAAAACAATTGAAGATACAATTGCTTAATTTCAATGGCAAAATCGTCAATTTGATAAAATATAAACTAACTTAACAAAAATAAATGTTAAAACAATATTTTAAAATTTTAAAAAATTATCTAACTACCAAAGATAAAATTATGTAAAATTGATAAATCTTTTAGACATTTATTTATTTTACCAAATTAATTTTTATTATGTGTTTAGATGATAATAATGTAATGGATCATTAGTAGGATTTTATGTGTAATTGATATATTTAATATATGAAATGTTTTTAGGTTTGAATTTTTTAATTTAATAGACTAGTTTAATAATGACATCAAAGTTATCGTTATATTTGACTTTTGAAAAAATAGAAAATAATTTAATAAAAATAAAAATAACCACTCATTACATGATTATCATCTAAACATATAATAAAATTAATTTGATTAAAAAAATAAATATTTAAAAGATTTATCATTTTTACTTAATTTTATCTTTAATAGGTATAGATAATTTTTAAAAATTCAAAAATATTTTTTTAACATTTATTTTTGTCAAATTAATTTATATGTTATTATATAGATTATTTTACCGTTAAAGTTAAGTAATAATATCTTCAATTATTTTTATTTAGAACATGATTTAAAATTTAAAATTAAATATATTATAATTTAAAAATTAAAATAACACAAGTCATAAATTATAAAAATTATTAATGTAATTCGTGCTATTATTTTTTAAATTTTTTAAGCAAACATTTTTCGAAGGAGGTCCAAATTCAAAGTTAAAAACCCAACCAATTCCACCAACTACCCAATAGACTAATCATGACACGTGTGTAGGTCCCATCACATCACAACAATACAATTTACTGGGGACCACTTTTCACTACCAATCAAAATTTTCCAATATTCCCTGCAAAAAGTACCGCGTCGCACGGGAACGCTCCCCGAGGTTCCCCACTCCCCCAAAACACGTCACCAACTTCAATAATCTCAGTCCTATCCTTCTCTTTCAAGTGACTTCACTGTAAGCGGCTTATAGATTTTTTTGATTTATTTAAGGGAAACTAATTAATAAATCTCATATTTTGAATTTATAATTTACATAATTTTATATTTTTTTTTATGATTTATTTAGTTTTTTTTAATATATAATGACTCATTTATTCGTCAAGTTCGAGTATCACATTTAAAAATAATATATTAAAATTTTTTAGTGTCACATCATTATACTCGTTACGTTAAAGTGTCACATTTAAAAATAAATTTTTAATTTTTTTAAAATGTCACATCATATCCGTAACGTTAGAGTGTAATATGTCACAATTGGAAAAAATATATTAAGAAATTTTAAATTTTTTTAAAGTGTCACATCATACTCGTCACGTTAAAAGGTCATATGTCACGTTTGGAAAAAATATACTAAATTTTTTTTAATTTTTTTTAGAGTATCACATTATATTCGTCACGTTGTTACATTTAAAAAAATGATATTAAAAAGTTTTTAGTTTTTAAGATTACATCATACCTGTCATGTTATTATATTTGAAAAAAATACATTAAGGAGTTTTTAGTTTTTTTGAAGTAAACATTTTAAAGTGTCACATTAATACTTGTTACATTAGAGTATCACATCATACCTGTCACATTAATAAAAAAAAATGTATAACTGTCTACCAAAACACTATCAAAATCAAAAATAAGATCACACGAAAAGAAACTCTCCACCAATAAGACTTAACATATCAATAGAACACATTTGGGACTAATTGAAGTATTTGTTTGTGAGATGAAATTATTGGCAAATCACATTTTTTTTTTTGTTGTAAATTTTTGTATAATAAATAATAAAAAATAATAATTTAGAGAGTATTTGAGAAGAAATTTTTTTTTTAAAGATTAAAATAATATTAAAAATAAAATAAACTAAAATAGTTAATAAGATAGAATATCATATCAAAATCATAATTATTTTATTTTTTTTATTCACAAACATCACATTCAATTAAAAACAATCCAACATTATTTTCAAACATAACTATTTCGACCAACCTAAAATAGCAACTATTAAAATAATTTATTAAAATAGCCAACTTTTTGAACGGACCTTGCCCTATTTGGTGAAACTTTTTTTTAAGTTAAGGGCTGGTTTGACATGTTTAAAAAAAATCAAAAAGTCAAAAAGTCACTATTCTATTTAAGTCACATTATCCTATTTAAGTCGCATCACCTCTCTAACCCATCATTTCAAACCCAACCCAAACTCAACTCATATTTCATAAAAATTCAAAAAGTGTACTTATTTAGATCATCCTAAACAACCCCTTAAAAGTTGATAATTAGAAAACAGAAGTTAAAAACACCCCTACTCTAACTTTCAAATAATCAATTTTTTTCAATTTATTTAAACTATTTTTACCTAATAAATTATAAACAGAAATTATACCAAATAGTCTGACACAAACTTTCAAATCAAAATAAGATATAATTACCAAAAATACTAGAGGCCCCAAAAATTCTACCAAAAGTTTTACCAAATGTCTCACATGGGTGTGGGACCTACATGGGACCCACATTGTGTGGGTCCCACAACATTTAGTAAAACTTTTAGTAAAATATTTAAGATCTCTAACATTACTCTATAATTACCCTCCAAAAAAAACTGTAACAAACTGTCCCCTTATTTATTTATTTTTTTTTGGGTAAGCAAACTGTCCCCTTATTTAACCCTTCCCAAAGTACGTCTAGCATTTGATTAAAAAAAAAAAAAAATACTGTTATATACACGAATTATAAAATATAATATAATTTAAAAACTTTATAATATATATTATTAAAATTATAATTTTAAAATAATAATATCATAATTATATTAATATATTAATTACTATAGTAATTGATACCCACCACCGAAAAAAAAAACCCAAGTACGCCTAGCATAAATCCTCAGCTACCCTTCATGGTCCACAGATCTCTCTCTCTCTCTCTCTCTCTCCAACCCAAAACTCACAGAACTCACTCTCTATCTCTCTCTCTCTCTCTCTCACACATACACACACTAGCATGAAGAAGCTCTACCGGAAAGGCGCGGTCCACCCATCGCCGCCGCTCATTTCCGATCAGCTGGCTTTTTTACCGGCCACCATCTTGACTCTGGCGGCTTCGCTCTCGCCGGAAGACAGAGAAGTGTTGGCCTACCTCATCTCTTGCTCCTCCTCCACCAACTTTTCCGGCAATCGGAGGAATACCCAGAAGACTACCACCACTGGAGGCGGAGGCGGTGACCACCCAACTTCTTTTAGCTGTAACTGTTTCACGTGTTATATGAGTTACTGGGTCAGGTGGGACTCGTCGCCGAATCGCCAAACGATTCATGAAATCATCGATGCTTTCGAAGATGGGTTGGCTCAGAGCAAGAAGGATAAGAACAGGAAAGAGAGAAGAAAGAGGGGTTCGAAAGGGTCGGATGAGTTGAAGCGGTCTGAGTTGGGTTCTAGTAAGGACGAGTTAGGCGAGTCAGAATCGGTGGAGGAGATTACTATTGGTGGTGGTGGTGGTGAAGGAGAAGATTGTGGTGGTAGTGATGGTGATGATGATGAGGAAGAGGAAGGGTTTGAAAAGGGTTCAGTGAGGAAGTTTGTGAGTTTTATTGGGGAGAAGTTTTGGAGTGTTTGGACCTAAGGAATTTCAAGGAAAATTTGGAGGAAAAACAGGTTGGTTTAGTTTTTCTACTTCTCTATAAGAAAAATATTTTTTTGGCTTATTAATCCCTTTTTTTTTTTGAGTTTTTTTTTTGGGAGTGTTTTTTGGAGTTGTATAGTACCCTTTTTACTTTGTAAAAAATGGGTAGATTTGAATGATTTCCTTTTAGTTAATTTCCCTTCACTTCATACATCAATGGTTTTATACCCATTGCTAAGCAGTGTAGTTTCTATGTTAATATTTATCCAGAAATAGGAAATGAAGGAGATGTGTGTGTGTGTGTGTGTTTGGTAATTTTATTATAAATATAAATATAAATATATATATTTGAAAATCAAATATTGTAATTTCTTGGGTTTTCAATGTTTTGATTATAAATTAATAATGTTGATCTTCTTGTAATAAATTTGAGGTTGTAATTATTTTAAGATCATATTATCCTTATCGTTTTACTAATCAATGCATGAATTTCTTTTGATAGTAGAAAAAACAAAAACAAAAACAAAAACTCCCATTAGGAATTGGAAAATGTTTGGTAGCTCAAATTTTTGTGGCTCAAATGGCTCTAATCTGTCAAAATGACGTCGTTTTACAGTCAAAATCTGTCAAAACGATGTTGTTTTGACAGATTTGAGCCATTTGAGCCACAAAAATTTGAGCTACCTAGCATTCTCGTTATGAATTTTCACTCGAGGAGAAAATTTTTGTTTCGCTAACTGAGATATGCTATAGTGTGCACCTCATATGTAATTTTATTGTAAAATTTTGTAATATTACACATAATGCATACTCTCATCCCAAATTGATATAACAAAATATCATAATCAAGTCATAACAAAAGTCCCAACAAAATATAGTAAATTTTTGAATTTTGAATTTGTACTTTATATTTTTAATAAAATTTTAAAATATTTTAATTATTTTTGTTTAAAATGTTTAGATTCATTTAATTAAAATATATTTATAAAGTATAAATTTAAATAATTTTTTTAAAAAAATTATTTAATATAACAAAGGAGGAATTACTTAATAGTTAGATTGAGAAAAATAAAATACACGGGTGCATGGAAGACTTGCATCCTTATAATTTTTTATTTCTATCCCATTACCGAATCTCTTGCACTCCTCATCTTTGTGTAATTTTTTTTTTTCTTGACTATTTTGAGAAGATGGTTATAATCAATATTTTGGTGAAAAGTTGTTTATAAACAACTTATAAATAATTTTTTTTGTGAGAGATGAAGTGGGTTATAATCTGAGAAGTGAATTATAACCGACTTCTCAAACAAAATATGAAAAAGTATTACATTTTCGTATTTTTTTTACAATTCTGCTAGAGACCCTCAGTGGGGGTCGCCCCCGCAGTGAGAAAATTTGGTAACTGAGCATTTCTTATTTTTACAATTCTGCTACAGACCCCATTTTCATTTTTTTTTTTTGATGATTTTTTTCCCCTTTAAATATTACTCAATCCGTCTCAAAATATGAAAAATGTTAAGCATTTCCAAGAGCCTTGCTATATCCTATTTTCAATTAAAGTAGCAAGCCAAAGCATAAAAAAAAACTCCAGCAGCCACATCAGATGCTTCAACAATTTGACACAAGTAACAGCTGCTAGCTACCTGAAGCGAGAAATTGTTGGTGTGCTATATATTTTTTTGTAACTTTTTTCCTATGTGTCAATGATGATCAAACTATTTACAAATTTATATATATATATATATATCTATATGAGAAAAGTTGAAAAGTTTAAAAGTTGAAAGAAATAATATTTTAAAAGGGATAGTTAAAGTAAAAGAGTATTATTGAAATGTATATTGAAAAAATGGTTAACTAAATTAATAAAGTGAAATTTTGAATAGTTAATTTTGTGAGGATTGCTGGAGATGCTCTTAGAGCATGTTTGTTTTAAGGGATAAGGGTGTGGGATTGAATTATTAGTTTCATTTGAAAAATTTTACTTCGGATTATTAGTTCTACAAATATGGGACTATCCTATCCTATGAGGGGAGGTGGGATAGAAATTATGAGATTGGTATTCTATGGGAATTATTTTGTAAAATGTCCATTTTACTCTTTATGTTATTACTTAGTAAACAATTAGAAAAGGGTAAAATAATCTTTTGAATATATATAAATTATTTTTTTAGTATTGTTAATTTAAAAATATATATTAAATAAAAAATTTAAATTATAAATTAAATTTAATTAAAAATAATAAATTAAAATTATGACCTTATAAATTAAATTTTTTTAGTGTTTTAAAAAATTAAATTTACATATTAAATGAAATTATTTTTTTAGTGTTGTGAATTTAAAATTATATATTAAATAAAAAATATAAATTATATTATAAATTTAAAATTTAAAATTATATATTAAATAAAAATTATAAATTACAAGGATAAAAATAGTCTTTTGAACATTTATCTTTCTCCATAATATCCAAAATAAACATGGAATTTAATAGAATAGTCCAATCTAAGACTTTTAATCTCATGACTAAACAAACATAGGATACAAATTTAGTTCAACAAAATAGTTCCGGGACAATGTATTCCAGGACTAATAATTCAATGGATTACAATCTTTACTTATCCAGTCCGTTCAAACAAACACACCCTTAGTCCTCACATAGCTGTTAAAATATTGGTTTTTTTTGAGAAATTTGAGATAGTGTTTGGTAGAATTTTTTAAATATGATTTAATAATAGTGTTGTATTTTGAATTTATGACTTTTGGAATTATGATTTAAGTGAATTTATACAACACTTACTATTATTTGTTTAGTGAATGAGTTTTGAATTGAGTAGAGAATTTTTGATGTGACATATGATATTTGATATAAAAATTTACAATTCATAACCAAGCACATAATTTAAAATTATATTCACAATTCATAAAAAAATTTAAAATTTTTGATTTTTTTTATTTAAAATATAAAAAATTATAGGTGTCAATTGTAATATATATATATAGTATTATTCCGGTCAACCGGCCAGACGTTCAGGAGGACGACCGATTAGCTCAATTTTTTTCACATTGAAAAGAATTATCAAAAGTAATTATAGAATTAATTTTTGAGAACTCTAAACAAATAAGATACTCAAAATAAAAGGTAAAAATATGTTTGGAGAATAAAATCAAACATGGTCTAACTTTTTTATACTACAATTATTATATTTTAAAAATATTAAATTACGTTTTTTTGAAGTGAAAATATTTAAAACTATCCTTTGATTTTAAATTAAAATGGTATAATTTTTTTTTTTTGACAACAATTATCTTAACTATACTTTTTGTTGAAGAATTTAAAAAAAAAAAAAGCATAATAGAAAATTTGTGCTATTTTAGTTCTTAATTCTTAGAAAGAGACTAATATTTTAAGAAAATAAAAAATTAAATAAATGACTAATATTTTAAAACCGAGTGATTTTTTTTTAAATATATCTAAATCGTGTATATTTATAAAAAAAATAAATTAGTGTATATTTATTAAAAAAAAAAAAGTTAGTGTAAATTATTAAAAAAAATAAAAAAAAAATTAAAAAAAAAACATACGAAAAATAAATAAATTTAATTTTATGAGGAGTTAATGTTAAACCAAACAGGGATGATTCTTAATTCATGAGGATATGGATATCCAATTAGAAATTTGGGAAACAAGATGTACACATCCTCAAATCTACACTTTATAATTTTAAAAAAAGTGATATGATTTTATATTTTTTGAGTCGTAATTAAAAATAAAAAAAATATATCATAAATAAACACAATATGAGGTATAATTAAGATTTTATGAGTTATAATTAAAATAATATTATAAATAAAGACAAAATTTTATAATAATTATACAAAAATATATAATTAGAGTGCATATGATACACTTCCTTTTAAGGAGGTGAATATTAGAATTTTCTTAGAAAATCTATAAATTAAACTCTATAATATAATCATTTTTTTGGGGATAAATATCCACAAATTTGGTACGTATAATGCAATGGTTATTCTTAGACATTGTAATTTATACAACACTTACTATTATTTTTATTAATAATTTTTAAGGGCACTGTCCATAAATTTAAGGAGATTTTTTTCTAAAGATTCCTGATATTAAGATTTTATAGTATAAAAGATACTAAATATTTTTATAATATCTAAGGTCCCTTAATATCGATCCAGAGAAATTATCTCCAGATAAATTTTCTTTTTACTTCCCACTTTCTAGAGAAATTCTAGACTTTTTAGAAAATTTCTCTCCAAAGAAATTCTATCTAGAGAATTCATTCCCAGAGAAAATCACATCTTTCTCAAAATTCTTCACAATCTCAAGCTCCAATACCTTATCATCACTAGCTAGAGAAAATTACTCCATTTAGTATGTAATTTTCTCTGGTTTCTCTAAACTTCCCAGAGAAATTCTCTGGATTCTAGTCTAGAGATTTTCTTTGAATTTTCAGAGAATTTCTTGAATTTTCGCAAGAATTTCTTTGGGTTTAAACTCGAAAATTTCGCTGCCTTCCCAATCATAATGTACAATACACAAATCGATTACCCAAATAGTAACAACAATAACCAACATACATGTATTTCTAGAGAATTTCTTTGGCCTTTTCAAAGAATTTCTCTCCAAAGAAATTCTGGGAATGTTAGAGAAATTCTCTATATTCTAGTCTAGAAAATTTCATTGGATTGCCTTCTCAATCACGATGTGCAATACATAAATCGATCACCCAAATAAGCAATAACAACAACTAATATATATATATATATATAGAGAGAGAGAGAGAGAGAGAGAAAGAGAGAGAAACTCACAGAAAGGAGAATTTCTCTGCTTTTCACAAGAATTTGTTTGGGTTCAAATTAGAAAATTTCTATGCCAAGAACAAGAAAAATAAAGATTATAGTTTGGATGAGGAAAAAACAGAGGGATGAAAGAAACCCAATTAATTGTAGAAAAATATGAGATGAAAGAGCAGAAAATCATTCATATAAATAAATCCAAAAAAACTCACGAAGACAATTCTACTTTTCTGTGGTCAAGATGAGTCTATAGCTTAAAAAGCCCAATCATACCTTCTGTATCCACTTCTAGATCTCGTAGTTCAATTTATTCTTCACTTATTACGAATCTATCTTCGAACACAATCTATAAACTAACCTGTAATAATCTGTACAACTCTAACAACGATTCTTTACATACTCATCAATTATTTTCAGCTGAGGTCCACCGCGGAGTTGGAGGCGACGACGACCACTTCAGACTCC